TTTTTTTCTTTTTGCTTATGTGGTGCTGAGGAATCGAACCCAGGGCCTCAGGCATGCAAGGCAAGCGTTCTACCACTGAGCCACCTTCCCAGCCCTCTTTTTTTGAGATGGGGTGTGGGGGGGGGAGCGGCTCACTATGTTGTCTAGGCTGGCCTTGAACTTAGGATCTTCTGGTCTCAGTCTCCCAATAGCTTCGGTTAAAGATGTTTGTCACCATAACTAACAGGTTGCTTAATTTTTAACATGCATTCAAAACACTTGAGGATCTTGTTAAAAATGAAGATTTTGCTTGTTGGTTTTTGTGATGTGGGGGAACAAATCTAAGACCTTGCTCATGCTAGGTAAGTGCTCTACTACTGGATTATACACTGTTAGCTGAAAATGGAAATTCTGAGTCCATAAATCTGGGGCAGGGTTGAGATTGAGCATTTCTCTGTGTGTGTGTATGTGCACGCATGCGCATTGCTGGGGCTTGAATTTAGGGTCTCTTTCACACTTCCTTGTCTAGCTTTTTGCTAGTTAACTGGAGATAAGAGTCATTCATATTTGTCTGATTGGGTCTCAAATCATGGTCCTTAGATCTCAGTCTCTGAGTTGTTGGGGTGATAGGGGAAAGAGCGAGAGGGGGGGAGGGAGAGAGAGAGAGTATGTGTGTGTATTTCAATTTTTTTTTTTTTGTGCCAGTTCTGGGGCTTGACCTCAGGGCCTGGGGTGCTGTCCCTGAGCTTTTGTGCTCAAGATTAGTGCTTTACAATTTTGAGCCACAGCACCATTTCTGGCTTTTTAGTAGTTAATTGGAGATAAGAGTCTCATGGACTTTCCTGCCTGGGCTGGCTTTGAACCGTGATCCTCAGATCTCAGGCTTCTGAGCAGCTAGCATTACAGGGATAAGCTCCCATCACCCGGCTATGTTTAAAATTTTTTGGCAATATGTGTTTGAACTCTGGACCTATATCCAGAGTTTACCCTGCTCTACCACTTGAACTAGGCAGTCAGCCCTTTTTACTTTTCGCTTGTTTTTTATTTTTGGTTGGTTGTGGTGCTTGAACTCTGGGCCTGTGTGCGGTCCCTAAGCTAAAGGCTAGCTCTCTACCACTTGAGCCATAACACCACTTCTGGTTTTCGGAGTGGTTTATTGGAGATAAGAGTCTCATGGACTTTTCCTGCACAGGCTGCCTTTTAACCACCATCCTCAGATCTCAGCCTCCTGAGTAGCTAGGATTACAGGTATGAGCCACTGGCGCTGACCTTTTAGGTTATTTCTTTCTGAGGGGGCATTATGCCTTTTGCCTTAGCTAGCCTGTAACCCACAATCTTCTATATATCTGTTTTATGAGTAGCTGGGATTACATGTGTGGACAACTGTACCCAGACAGGTTTTACTTGGTACCAAAAAGAAGGAAGATTTTGACTATTAGAAGGATCTGGCGAGTAGACAAGCTGGGTAGGTGCCTCTCAAACTTTATTAAGGGAGACTTTATGTTTGTATTGTGCATTAAGAGAATAGATGTTCTGGACAATGACAGAACTCCAGTTCAGACCTTGATTTTGCCATTTAGTAGCGCTAGTTTGCCAGGTAACTTTTTTCTTTTTTTCTCGGTTGTGGGGCCTGACCTCTAGGCCTGGGCTCTGTCCCTCAGCTCTTCAGCTGTAGACTAGTGCTCTACCACTTGAGCCACGGCACCACTTCCGGCTTTTTCTGCTTATGTGGTGCTGAGGAATCCAACCCAGGGCCTCATGCATGCAAGGCAAGCACTCTACCACTGAGCTACCTTCCCAGCCAACTTTTTTCTAGCTCAATTTTCTCATTTATAAAATGGGCAAGATAGCTAACACAAAGGATTGTGATTTCTTTCTGTTTGTGTGTATGCCAGTCCTGGACTGGAATTTAGGGCCTGGGCACTGTCCTTGAACTTTTATGCTCAAGGCTATCACTCAGCACTTGAGCCAAAGCTCTACTTGTGGCTTTATGGTAGTTAACTAGAGATAAGAGTCTCACAGACTTTCTTGCCCAGATTCACTTTGAACCTTGGTCCTCAGATCTCAGCCTCCTGAATAGCTAGGATTACATGTTTAGACAGTTTCTCACTATGTAGCTCAGGCTGGCTTTCAACTTCTAAGTGCAGGGGTTACTGGTATGTGACACTGTGCCTGGTACTTGTGGGAATTTTGAATGAGTTTTAAATGAGACCATTGTTGTGGGAAATGAATGTAGCTCAATGGTACAGTGGTTATATACTATGAACAATGCCCTAGGTTTTATCCTCAGCAGGCCCACAAAAAAAAAGGTGTGCTTTTATTATTTGCTTATTATTTTGCCAGTCCTGGGGCTGGAACTCAGAGCCAGGGCTTCTTTTTGCTCAAGGCTAGCACTCTTAACACTTGAGCCACAGTGCCACTTCTGGCTTTTTCTGTGGTGCTGAGGAACTGAACCCAGGGCTTTGTGCATGCTAGGCAAGCACTCTACCACTAAGCCACATTCCCAACCCAAGCTCTTCAACAAAGGAAAATAAGAGGAAAAAAGCACCTAGCACACAGTTCCTGGAACATAGTGAATACTCAAAAAATGGAATCAATTATTAACAATTAGAAAAGTAAGCTGGGCACTGGTACCTCATGCCTGTAATACTAGCTCCTCAGGAGACTGAGATCTGAGGATCATGGTTTGAAGGCATCCTGGGCAGGAAAGTCTATGAGACTTTGTCACTAACCACCAAAAAAGCTAGAAATGGAGCTGTTGCTCATGTGATAAAGTCCCAGCCTTGAACAAAAAAAGTGCCCAGTACAGTACCAGCACACATACATACACACAAGTAAATTAGAAAAGTAATGGCTAAGGATGCAACTAGGATGTTGACCATATTTACAAGAATTTAAGCAAGAAGACAAAAATTATTCATTTCTTATTCCTGGATTGTTACTGTACTTAATTCTCCCTCTGTAGTGCCCCATTATTGCAATTCAGATATTATTTATTATAATTTTTTTAAGTGTACTAGTTGTAGAATATAAGACACCCAAAGGCTTTAATGATAGCCTGCACTGGTATTTGTCAAGTTTCTGTCGCATGTGTATCTTATTCACGGTATTTTATTAGTGCTCTTAAAATGGATTCATAATGTTTTGTTAAGTAAATTTACCTTCATCTAAACAACCATATTGGTGAAACTGTGAGTTTCGTGTAATCCATGGTTTTTCTAATGTCCATGAAATAAACACATAATGATTATAAGAAGATAGAAAATTTCCCACACACGACCTAGAATGTTCTTGTATCTTACACTGCGGCCACCCCAAATTGGGAAACTTTGCACTTCTGTCCTCAAGACCTTGAGACAGGATAAACAAATGAGTAGCCTAGAGTCTTATTAAGCTAGAATCAGCTTCTTACCAAGATTCTTCTTCAAGTACCAAGAATCAAGATTCTTCTTTTTTTAAAAAAATTAAATTAAGCTGGGCACTGGTGCCTCACACTCATAATTCCAGCGAGGCAAAAAAGTTCTCACGAGACTCTTACCTCCAATTAATCACTCAAAAACTGGAAGTGGCTGGATGCTGGTGGCTCACGCCTGTAATCCTAGCTACTCAGGAGGCTGAGATCTGAGGATCGAGGTTCAAAGCCAGCCTGGGCAGGAAAGTCCATGAGACTCTTACCTCCAATTAACCACCAGAAAAATGGAAGTGGTACTGTGGCTCAAGTGGTAGAGTGCTAGCCTTGAGCTGAAGAGCTCAGGGACAGGGCCTGGGCCCAGAGTTCAAGCCCCATGACCTACAAAGAGACATAAAAAAAAAAACAAAAAATAAAAATAACTGGATGTGGTGCTGTGGCTCAAGTGGTAGAGCACTAGCCTTGAGCAAAAAGAGGCTCAGGGACAGCACCCAGTCCCTAAGTTCAAGCCCCAAAACCAACAAAACATAAATAATTAAAGTTTTGATATTTAAGTAGTTGTACAAAGGGGTTACTATTCAACAAATAGGTTGATAAGTATAATACATCTTGATCTTCATGCTTGTGTGAAGAATTTGTTTTCCATGTCAGTGAAGTCAATAAGAAGTCCCCAGGGTGCACCAAAGTCACCTTAAAGAAGGGTGCCAAGGGAAAAAAAAAAAAAAGGCCAGAAAAATATCAATGTAATGAGAAAAGTTCTCTTCGCAATGGC